GCATGAATGTGTGTGTAGTAGAGTGATGCATGAATGTGTGTGTAGTAGAGTGATGCATCATTGTGTGTAGTAGAGTGCTGCATCAATGTGTGTGTAGTAGAGTGCACATGTTGGCAGCACATGCACAGAAACATTCATGCACAATTAGGTAAATCTGAATATTTATCTACTCTGACACCAACATTCAGTCTGAAAGCTGCAGCCTCTGCAGTGCAGCTCAACTGTCTGTTTGTCCGGTGCCTACGTTATCTTGGGGGGGTGTCAATGCTCAGTCAGCCAGAAGCCTGCTGTTCTGTTGCTGCATCAGGTTTACTTCACAGTGGTCAGACCTACAAGACTCCAGACCACCTGCAACCCGAGCCCAGCAGTGAATAAAGATTACTTATTCTAACGTTGGTCCTTGATGATCTGCCTGGAGACGGGTTTGAAGGGAACTGGGTCTTGTGGATCCGTTCGTTTTAAAGATTTGTTCAATTTTAAATAATAAGCAATGTACAGCCTAAAGTCATGACATACGACATAAAGGCCGTATCACGTGACTTGTCAAGAGCACCACCCCCTCTCCTCCTGGGCACATTTTAAAATATTAAACTGCTGCACTCCTCTGCCTGTTCTTTGTCTCAGAGGACAAGCAAAACAGGAGAGTCTGAATCTGATGGGAGCAATAAGAAAGTGGAGTCTAGTTGTCTGAGACTCTCATAAGATTTCTCTTGTTAACATACATCACATCTCTAGAGCTGCACCATCCCTCCTGCACCTCCATCCACCTCCACGGACAGATTCAGGTAGTCCTTTGTCCCTCAAGACATCAGACTGTTCAACTACGATACTCCCTGTACAGTAAAAATAGAGCCTTGTAAATCTGCGGCACTTATGTATATTTACATGGACCTATGCAATGCATATGTCCATGTATTGTTTGTTTCATTTTCATTTTTGGTTAATGGTCAGTTCCTGCTCCTGTCTGCTCCCATTAGCTTTCAGTCCGGTCACGTCCCGGTCACGTGAGTTATAATGAGGTTGACTCCGGTCCCTCCGGAATCCGTCCGGAATCACATGACCCGCGGTTCTCCCGAAAAAATGTCATCCTCTAATATGCATATGTATTTACAGGTATATGTGTATGTATGTATACAAATACAGTATATAGGTTAATCATGAATGTAGTACTCCCTACCACCTTGTGCATATTGTCTTTGTCCAAATTTGTGTTCTGCTTGTTTTTAGATTATTTCACGTTTTTTTTCTGTGTAGTTAGTAAATGCTATTGGATGCCTCGAATTTCCCCCCGGGGATTAATAAAGTATCTACCTATCTATTATGTATGTATCTATGTGTCTATCTATCCATATATTTATGTATATATCTATCTACCCATGTATCTATGTATCTATCCATGTATCTATGTATCTATCCATGTGTCTATCTATCCATGTATCTATCCATGTATCTACCCATATTTCTGTATCTATCCATGTATCTATCTATCTCTCCATCCATCCATCCATCCATACATCCATCTATCCATCTATCCTGATTTGCATTGCTATAGCAACAGTGACATTTGTGGACAAGTCCCCCTTCATGTGTCTCACACACCCGATTGTAGGATGAGTCTTTACATACTGTTCCTAGATTCACTCATGGGTAAAAGAGGGGATTGTGTAAGCTTTGACAGAAACACATACCTGCTGTTCTGGGACCAGTGACGTCGGGTGAGCTGAGCATCGAGTCACTGTCTGCTGTATTCCAGGTGAAGAAGAGGAGCAGAGGCAGGACTCCTCTGCTCCTCCCTGCACTGACACGTCTCCAGCCCCGAGCATTCTGTTTCCAACCGCTGTGTTTTAAAAAAAGGGATGACATTTGCTTTGGCGACCTGGAACCATTTACATTTCCACGTACGGGAGTGCTCCACTGAAAAGCCTCTGTCGTCGTCAAAGAGTTGTGCTTCCAGAGTCCCGTGACTCTTTTCATTCCAGCACAGCTTTATGTCTGGTGGCTGAAAACTCTGAAGCAAACAAATGAAGGTTGGAGGAGTCGTGTTCCCGCTAAAGCAGCCCGTTGTCCTGGGCTTCAGATATGTTTTATTCTTTAATACTTCCATGAATCAAACTGATTGTTTGCTTTGATGTGGTCTATGACAATGGTAGAAATGATAAGTTCTTGGTATTTATGGTAAACATAACACTAAAGGAAGGAGAGGAACCTGCTGAAGGTCAAGGGATGGGTTTATTTCTCGTCCAGACTGGCTTTGAGCTGAGCCTCCAAGGCCATCTTATCAAACGTGCGCATGTTTGTCTCCTCCCGCACTTTGTCTCTGACGTGAAAGGAGGCTCGAGCCACGGAGCGAGCGCTCTCCAGGACCGCCTTCTTCTCCCTGAAGATCTGCTCACTCTTCTCCAGCTTCCTCTCGATGGACTGCAGCAGCTCCAGGCGCCTCAGCCTCTCCTCCTCCTCCACGCGCTGCCGGTTCAGCTTCTGGAGTCTTTCCTTCTCCTGCCGGCTCTGAACGGCTCGCTTGGCCTTCTCCTTGGCCTTCTCCTCGGCCGCCAAAGCTGCCTGCTGGGCTCGTTTCTCCGCCTCCATGACACGGATCTCCAGCAGCTGCTGCTGCTGCCTCTCGCGCCTTTCCGCTGCTTTGCGAGCTCTCTGGATCTGACTCTCCTCACGCTTGGCCTTTTCCTTCAGCTCCTGCCCTCGACGCTCAACGATCTGCTCATAATTGTCAAGAGAGCGGCTCAGCTTCTCCTCCGCTGCCCTCCAGGCCTCGTCGCGCTCCTCCTGCTCTCTGCGGGCGATTTCTTGGATCAGGGCGGCGTGGCGTCTTTTCTCAGCTTTGTTCAGACCTCTTCTCTCCTCCTGGGCTTGGTGCTCCTTCTCCTGCCTCTTCAGCTCAGCCATGGTGAGCTTCTCCTTCAGCAGCAGCCTCTCCTGCTCCAACACTGCGGCCCTCTCTTCCGCCAAGGCCTTCAGGTTCTGTTCTTGAAGAGCTTTTTTGTGCTTCTCCTCTCGTGCCGCCTGCTGTAACCTCAGAAGACGGCTGCGCTCCTGCTGCTCAGCGAGCTCCCTCCATTTCTCCTCGTGCTCCTCTGCCTGCCGCAGTTTGGCAGCAGCAGATTCCTGCTCCTGCAGACTGAGCTTCTGCTGACGTATGGACACTTGGGTCTGCCACACGCGCTGACACTGAAGCACCGCCCGCTGCTTCTCCCTGTCCTCCTGCTCCCGTCGCAGCTCCTCCATCCTGCGCTCGCTGTCCCACTGAAGGTGAGCCACGTAGCGGGTCTGACTCATGATATCTTCTTCCTGATACCTGGCAAGCATCAAGGCGGCGATCTTACGGTCTCGCTCAGAGACGGCCTTCAAACCTCTACGTTTCACCTCTTTCACGATGCGCTCCACCTTCTGTGTGGTCTGAGGGGAGTGACTCAGGTCCCCCAGGCTGAGACTTCGGCCCATCAGAGAGTTGAAAGTGGCCAGGGTGCGAGCTCGAGGACTGGAGAACTTTGCCCAGTAGTCTCGAGCACCATCCCAGCTGTAAGAGGAGGAAGCACCTGACTCCGATGAGGTGCATGTAGTCGTGGTCGTAGAAGTTGAGGGGCAGATGGGATCCATCTTTCGCTGCAAAGACTCAAGTGAATGGCTTTTTCCTCGAATCTTTAAATGAACTCCAAGATGTCCATTGTGCTGTGAGTAGGGGCCTCTGGATATCCCGTTGAGAGGTGTGCTGGGGCTCTGGACTGCCGGCTTTGACACCGTTGACGTTAATGTGGAGTTGGCTCGAGGGAAGGAAGGAGGTTTCGGTGTTGACACAGATGACGTTAATGTGGAGTTGGCTCGGGGGAAAGAAGGTGGTTTCGGTGTTGATCTGGGGAATGTGTTTGAGGACTTTCCACCAGAGCCCTTCCTTACCACTGGTGGGGGGCCCGATGAGAGCGGTCGCAGGCTCTTTATCTGTTCATGTGTCTTTGGAGGTTTGGCAGACCCTTGAAGTCCACCCTTGGAAACTGGCGTAGAGGTTCCAGAGCCTGATTTAGAAAATGGGGCAGATTTGGCGGAGGTGTTAAGAGATGGACCTGAAACTGTGGCTTTAGAGGAAACTCCTTCATCAGGGACTGAGCTAGATCCTACTGCCCCAGATTTAGGTGGTAGACTGAAGCCAACTGTGGCTTTCTCCACAGAGGACGAAGATGCGCTGCTGTTGACTGCCGCCTGCAGAATCCTTCTTTTCTCCTCTCTAACAATCCTCTCCCTCTCTTCCCTGCACTGCCTCAGTTTGGCGTGTCGGTCCTTCTCGTAGACCTCAAACAGACCTGTGGCGACGCGCATGGAGCGGCCTGGCGCCTCTCGGATGAAGTCTGAGAGGGGGCGGGGAAGCAGCTCCACAGGTTTGACCCCACATCGAGCACATGCCTCCAGAGAGCGGGGGCTCGTCAGCACGTAGCGACTGCCCTCTGCAGCAGGCGAGTCGAAGTTGTACAGATCCAGGTGCATTTTGGGGGACGAGTCTGTGTCGATTTGAGTCTGTGGTTTTGGAGGTGCTGGCACCTGTACCATGACCGGTGAAATGGCCAGCGAAGCGGTGTGGCAGGGACTTGGCTCGGAGCTGCCAGTGGGCGGTGTCTCAAACCCGGCATCCCCTTCCTCCTCCGTCGTCGTGCCATCAGCCTGTTCTGGCAGTCGAGGGTCTTCAGTGGCCACAGCCGGCGTGTCGAGGTGTGCGCCTTTACACTTGGTCTGCTCCTCAGCATCCGAGGGGTCAACCATAGTTGGCAAAAACTGCAGGAGGAGAGACGGGGGGTGGGGGGAGAGATGGGATAAACACAAGTGAACAAAACCGTAGAAAGAGCTCGCAATTAGAGGATTATAACATTCAGTCAGAGCTTTAAAAATGCAGTCTGGAGGGGGGGAGGGTCACTGCAGGTTTAGAGATGCGTGCATGAGCACATATTCATACGCTCAGTGATGCTACACCAGATGAGACGTTTTCCCTCTGGGGAAGTGAAATACCACACAGAAAAACACCACAGTCCCGTAATGGAGAGGCTATTTTAGGCAGAGTTACTAGGCTGAGAGAAATTGATTACTCACAGACAGATTTTTCACTCTACATCACACAGTCCACATACAAATACCTCGACCCCCAACGTAGTCTGGATTATCTGCTGTATTCTGACGTCAGACGTGAACTTGTTAACAACAGGAGTCTTTCAAAGCTAAAATGGCTCCCTGAAGCTCATTCTCTTTCATTTTAAACTAAAGAAATTGCATTTCCTGCTAAAATGCAGTGTGAATGATTATTGCAGAAGAACGTGCTGGAAAAACAGCTGCAATTAGCTAAAAAAAAAAACACGCTGAAATGTTGCTGAAATGCAAGAACAAGCTTAAATTAGCAGAACAAAGTAGAAACAACACATACTTGCAGAAAGTGGTTTAAATTTTAAGAAATTAGAAGAAAAGCTAGGAAAAAATCTGAAATTAGAAAAAAAATTGGCTGAAAATTAGCTGAAAGAAAGAAGCTTAACCAGAAGGAAGCAGAAAGAGCTGAAATGAGCTAAAAAAAATGTAGAATTAACTGAAAATGCTAAAATTTGCATAAAACAGCTGAATAGTAGCTGAAATAGCATAAAAAGCTGAAACTAGCAGAAATAAACTGAAAAGAGCATAACAAGCAGAAATTAGCAGAAGTTAATTAGTTTGAAAGTAGCAGAAATTACCACAAAAAATGTGAATTTATCTGAAAACAGCCAAAAATAGCTAAAAAAAAAAGTAGCTGAAAAAGTAGAACAAGCTTAAAGTAGCATTAGTAAGCAGAAAGAACGTTTACTGAAAGAAGCAGAAATGAGGACAAAAAGTGGAAATTATCTGAAAAAAAGCTGAAATTACAAAAAAAACCAGCTGAAAAGTAGCTAAACATGCAGAAACAAGCTTAAATTACCAGAAGGAAGGGGAGAGAGCACATTTTTGCTTAATTTGGCTGAAAAAAGTTGAAATGAGTGCAAAAAAATTGTGGAAATAGCTGAAAAAGCTAAAATTAGCATAAAACACCTAAATAGTAGCTGAAATAACTGAAACTTGCAGAAATAAGCTGAACAGAGCAGAACAAGCTCAAATCAGCAGAAATAAGTTAGAAGAAGCACAAAGCAGCTGAAATCAGCTGAAAGTAGCTGAAAACTATTTAAACTTGCACAAAGAAGCTGAAAAAGAACAAAATGCGAAAGGAGCAGTAAAAGATTGTAAACAGATCTGAAGATCTGAAGGATCTAAAATGAACTCAATTCATTTTCTATGAGGAAAAAATGTCAGAAAAGGCTAAATATTTCAAAAAGCTAAAGTTGCACCAATACCAAAGGATTGTCCTGAAAGAGCCAAACGTTTTGATTTATGATTTGTTGAAATAGCTGAAAACTGCAGGATGAGAAAGATGAAGAAAAGCGTACGGAAGAAAAATGGAAGACAATAGTGAATTCTTCATAATTCACACAATCAGCTGATCGTGTTTTGGTTTTTACTCCTTTAATGAGACTTTAGGATTATTTATTTATTTATTATTCATTTAGTGTTAAAGAGGAGACGTCGGTCTGCTTCTCCTTTAGACTGGTTGGAGCTCTTCCACAGCTGGATGTGTCTGAAGAACCAACAGGTTTTTAGCTGAGAGTTTTACTGTTTCTGTGAAGGTTTCTAAATCTTTACAACTACTGAGATTTGTTTTTCAGAACGCAACTCGTTCTGCAACTTTTGTTCTATTCCGACATTTCACGTCTCAAAACGTTCGGCTCGTTCACGACATTCCTGCTCTGACTTCGGCTATTTAAGTTTTTACTTGTTGAAACATTTATCTTTGTCGGCCATGTTGTTCCCATTGAAAATGAACGGAGCTCTCTTCACATCCTTCAAACCCTTTGTGCTGTTTACAACCTTGTCCTGCTCGTTTCAGCTTCTTTCTGCTTCCCAGAGCTCCTTTTAGTGTCTTTCTGCTGATTTCAGCTTTTTTTTTGTGTGTGGCAAATTTCAGCTTTTTTTGTGTGTGTGGCAAATTTCAGCTTTTTTT